GGCATTTCATGGACTTCGAATGCAAAGATGTCCTTGTATTCTTTCAATAGTTTGTGAAAATCGTCACCCAGGTCCCTTAGAGCAGTCGTCCCAACCTTGATTGTTCTGTCAGGACGCGAGTCATCTAACATCAGGTCCGTATGCTCACCAGCTGGCTGAGGGCGGAATTCATCCGACCGCTCCTCTGCCAATGATTGCTATTTTCTGTCGGCCCCTGTCTGGGATGCCTTTCTCTTCTTGCCGCCTGCTTCTTGAACAGGCGCACTCTCCTTGACATTGTCAAGGTCTATTTTTTTACCGCTCGACATAGTGGCCATAACAGTGGGCTGGACATCCGAGAGATAGCACTCTCGGGCCATCCTCTGATCTCCCCTTAAGGACCCGACTGTTCCATTATCCCTCTCAAACTTGAGCAACATAAGAGATGGGATTATAACAGCCTTGGATTTATTCAGGGTTGGTCGTCCCAGAGTCATGTTTTAGGCCGAGAGTTCTTCTACTACCAGGAACCGGACTACCATGTGTCGTCCTTCCCCTTTTTCACCCAGGCGGATGGGTAAATCCACTCGTCCCACTGGATGGACGACTGCTCCTCCAAACCCTACTAAAGGGTGGGATGCCGGATGTATGCAATCAGTCTGATATTTTAGTTTCGACAGACATTTGCTACTGATGAGATCTGAGGAGCTTCCGGTATCTATGAGGATTCGGCCAACTCTCTGGTTGGCCACTTTACATTCAATAACGATAGGGTCGTCATGCGGCCCTCTTACCCCTCCTAGATCTTCTTCAGTGATGACAATCTCAGGAAATGAATATTTGGAGGGCCGTTCTTGGTGAACGGAATTTACATCTAACCGTCTGATATTGTCTTTGTTGCCCCTAATAGTGGGGCCGCCTCCTGAGAAGCCGCCTGCAATGGTGTAGACGACTGCATCATCTGTATCGGAGCTGTCGGCCTGCTGATTCTTTTTGGTCGACTGCTTTTTCGAGGAAGTGTTCCCCGTAGATTTCTTGACATAAGTGTCAAGATCACCTTTGCTCAGCCAGGCGGTCCAGATACCGCATGAGACTGATGCATTCATTGGTGTGATGACCAACATCTTCATGATAATCACAGAATTTTTCTTGGTTCCGGTTGTTTGCAGAACCCTTCATGGGGACCGGATTCTCAATTGAGATCTGTCCCTTGATTTCCTTTAGGATAAATTGGCTATCCTTGTTCAACGCATACTTTGGGGAGTATGGTTTGAATTCGTTTTTCTTTTTCTGGGCCGGCTGTTTAGAGGAATCAGCCGCCCAGACCTCTTTTCTCTTCTCGTCTTTGTTTGACGACTGTTTCTGTCGTCCTTCTCTTTTGTCGGACCTTCTCCCGTCTGACTGTTTTACCGTACTACAAAGATCAGTCGCCTGTATATAGGCTTCCGCTTCAATCAAGGCCTCTTGAAGAGTCGCCACCCTCTTTCAGACCAAATCAAATTTGAAGGTCGACCCGTCTTTGAGACCTCTGAAAAAGTCAGTATAGGCTACTTCATCCGGTAACCCTTGAATCTGTATTCTCATCAGGTTAAACCGCCTGATGTAAGAACGAAGCCCCTCCTTCTCGCCCTGCTGAACTGTTCCTAAATCAAGGGTCGTCTTCTTCGCAGGGATGTTCATGGCGAAGTTGGAGGTGAATAAGTAAGCAAGCGTCTTGAAGTTATTTACACAACCAGTCGGCAGGTTGCCGAACAATTGTTGTGCGATTCCTTTGAGAGTCGCTGGGAAACACTTGCACCAAGTGGGATCATCCAACCCTTGAAGGTACATCAGGTTGGTGAATGCCATCAGATGGTCTTCTGGGTTAGTAGTGCCGTCATAGGCGCCTACTAATACATTTTTCACTTTGGCCAGCTGAGCGGCTTCAGTAATTTCCTTGGAGAAGGCCGACGGCTGTTCGCCAAGTCTAAGCAACCGTAGCTGCCAGTCCATAGGTTGGACGTTTTTTGCTGCATGTCCACCAAACGGAGGTGGCTGTAAAATATACTGTTGTTGCGGTACAAACGGTAAGTTTGGTACCGCCTGGTCGCTATGATAGCCGAACTGACGGGAGGTGCCGCCTGACTGACTCTCATGATACGACTGAGTATGCCTCATCGAGGTATTTCGCAGACTGTCTTGGAAGTTTGAAGTAGAGGCCGACTCTGACAATCGGTCACTCTTCTTCTGCTCTAGCAGTAGCCGAGCGTCTGTGTATGTTTTCCTCGACCCGTCCGCCTGAATATGACGAACAGGTTTCCTATTTCCTGGAGTAGGAAAACGGTATTTTGTGAAATCAAGGGCAGGTGGCTCCCGTTTCCTAGATTTAGGATGAGGGGTCGCCTCTCGCCCTTGAACTGGCTTCCTCTTCTGTGAAGTGTAGGGTTTCTTAGCCGACTGCTCCTTGTCCACAGGCGGCTTCTTGTTGATCAATTCTTGAATTTCTCCCTTGAAGTCCCTCATGAAGGTCATGAGTTCGTTCCTTGTGATGGGAGCAGACCCATCAGTCGGCTGTTGCCGAACAGGCGGTGCGCCTGCTGGCTCGCTTCCTGTATGAAGATGTTCCCGTTCCCTCCTTTCGGTATGACGGGTACGTCGGGCCCTTAGGGTCCCATCTGAAGCTGTGTGAGCTTCAACTTCAAATTCATTCTCAGTATCGTGGTCCGACTGAACTAGAGGGTCGTCCAGGGGACGTCTCTCTTCAGGAGTCGGTACAAACGTGGATGCCATCTCAGAAGTACTCTCCCCACAGACGGCGCCAAGATGTTTCGGGGTTTTCTGATGTCCTGCGGGAGAGTTACAATTCCGAGACTGGAACCGGACGCTTGTACCTGCAAAACAAACGGATGCTCCGGATGATTGGAGATCCGCCTCCGACGGTCAAGTTAGTACTTGATTAAGAAGTAATTAATGCGGAAATTAAACTGATTGGGTCTCTCTAGGTGAGAGAGTTTAATGTGTGTAATCTGCGTTGTCCCCCTTAATGAGGATTAAGGGAGGTATTTATAACCTCGGGAAACGTGCCAATCTAGGTTTAGGTTAACCTTGGGCTGATTGGGCTTCCCTCGGAAGTTGGGCCTTGGTGACCGGTTATCCCAGGTGTCATGGGAAGGACACGTGTCGTGTCGTAATTGGTCCATAGTGGACGGATCATTGCTTGACACGTGGCAGGCTCCTATTAGCCCATGTGACGGACACATGGCGGAACCTGATTGGTCCACTTGTTAGATGGTGATTGGTGGGGAAAAATCCCCTAATCATAGCTTGTGTTTGCTCTTATCACAGTGAAATGGGATGATTTACTGCCTCGTGTATGGTATAGTTTAAACTCTAGTTGCATTCTATTATTTGATAATCTTATCCTCTTAAAGTAGATATAAATTTTATAAAAGTAAACTAATTGAATTCAAAAGTAAAAGCTCAATCAAATGCCAAATATAAAGTCTCGAGTTTGTGCTAATTGGTGCTAAAGGATTTTGGTGTGAAAGTTGAGGATGTGATCAAAAGGGCTATGATTTTGCTGCTTTCTGTCAACAAAAAAAAAAGTATTGTTTATTTAGTACTGTTTATCCTTGTCATTTCCAAAGGATTTCAACTCCTCATGATTCAATTTACTCAGTGAACTGTAAAGCCGCGTTTCATCAGTACTGTTTCTCCGTAGTATATTTCCCATAGTAACATTATTAATTTTCAAAGTCTTATTGACAATGGTGTTACTGTTACACTTTTGTTGAAGGAGCTCGTGGAGTTCCAACCCCTGAATTTTATTAGCTGAAGAAGAGGAAGATGACGTGGTGGAAATTCTTTCAGCATCTGAAAGTCTTCTAATTTGATTATGATGATGTGAAATCAAACCCCTCGGAGTTGCCACATTGGACTTTACAGTTGGAGTAACAGATTTTTCTATCCAACTTTTTTCAGGTCTGCATTTAGTAGCACCAACAGCAGCAGAAGCCTCAACTGGCTTGCCCTGATTTTTTATTTCAGTCACATTCTTACTGTTCATAGTCAAAGGCAGAAAACTGAACGAGAACCTCCTAAAGCAAAGACTATGACGTTGAGATAAGCCGCCTATGAAGCTGCAGCCATTGCCAGACGACTCAACCATGTATGTACTGATGGTTTATTGGATGTAGTGGCTCTTGACATTTCAAGTCTTCCTTAATAAGACGAGTTGGTTGTTGTCATGGCAGAATCCTTGGCTGCAAGAATGAGAATGGTGCTTGCTAGAAGAATGGGTTGTCATTATATGTCGTTCGAGTATGATGTTGTGTTTGTTGTGCATTTGAATCATAGGTTTTCATTAAACCTTTTGTCCTCAAGACTAGCAATTGTCTAATTTCATAGAACGATCATAATCCTAAGTGATCTCTAAAGTAAATAAAAAAAGAATATAAAGTGAATAAAAAAGACTTTAAAGTAAATCTATTAGCTCAAGTGGTAAAGCACTATGCAAATGAATAGAGGTGTAGGTTCGATTCTTACATAGGTTATCTCTACAAAATATAACACGCACTAAAGTAACTCAAAATTTCTCAAAAGTAAATTAAAATAACTTTAAAGTAAATCACATAAGCTCTAAGTATACGTACAATAAATTAGCTTTAAATGATTAATAACTATAAAAACTTTGTTATACACAAAAACTCTAAGTCATTGACTTTCATATTCTTACAAGATGAGTTAAATTAAAAGAAACAAATATATTAAGTTCAATGTAGAGGTTTTCAAATTAAAAGTAAATAAAACTATATCGAAAGTAAACCAAAAAAAAAAAAATCTAATAAAACATATAAACAACTAAAATGAACTTTTATCCAAAGTTTAATCTTTAGATTACACAAATGAACCTACGTGGGATTTGAATCCACATCTTTTGTGCAATTACACAATACTCTACAGATTGAGCTAGTAGGCTAGGGTTATCAATCTATTTAAGTAGTACTCAAAAGTAAACCAAATAATCTTAAAAGTAAATAATATAATCTATAAATCGCAATAAAGCCTTTGGTTATGGTAACATAGTTTTGTTCTTTTATTTCGTATCTGAGTAGGGGTTGGAGTTGGAGATGGAGCATGTCATTGTTTGGTGATAAAGTGCCTCAGCTCAAAATTAAATAAAAAAGGCTAAAAAGTAAATTAAAACATCATTAAAGTAAATAAATAATATTAGTTCTGCTCATGCTTCTGTTGCTCCTCCTGCACTCTTGCTCACAGCAGCTTCCCGTTTCCCGTTTCGCTCAACTTTAAGAACTCCCGAGCAGCATTTATAGCAGCATGCAGCAGAGCAAAAGTAGCATAGTAGCAGCAGGCAGTAAAGCAGAAATAGCATAGCAGCAGCAAGCCATGGCAGAGAAGGAGTTGTAGCAGCAGCCTAGGCCAAGCCAACCGCAGTAGCCTTGGTAGGGCCTGTAGGGCAGCAGCTGCAGCCTTGGTAGGGCCTGTGTGGCAGGGCAGCAGCACTCAACCCGATCATTTTTCGGGCTGATCTTCACATGTTCAATTGTGATAAATCAACCCATGATGACGTGATCAACATCAAGTGAGTGAGGCATTGCAACATTAATGGGCGAGCCATCATCGTAACTAGAAGACGTAGAAAACAAACTCTATTCTAAGGAAATTTTACAGTAATTAATTATAAATAAAAACATATCTTTAAAGTAAATAAAACAAAATAAAATGTAGATTCAAATATCTCTAAAGTATGTAAGCAATCAATGGTGTGAAGCGATAAATGAGTATGGTTTCTTTGTTGTGGCAATGGAGTACGTAGGAAATAATATAATCTCAAGAGTAAATAATAAAACTAAAAAGTAAATATGAAGTATAAAAAAGACTTAAGAAGTATATGAGGGTAAAGTAAAGGTTTTTCAAATTAAAAGTAAATAGAACAATACAAAAAGTAAATAAATTTATGAAAATTAACTAAATACACAACAAAAATGGTATAATGTCTCTAGTATCCCTGTAAATTCAACAAGTTCTACCCTTGCACAAGTTGGGGCCAAGACAACTAAGCTAGGTAGAAAATTTCCCATCCATGGTTAGGATGTCACTAGGTCGGCCACGTGCATCTTGAAATATCCTTCAATCTACTATCAATATACAATCAATCTACTATCAATGTCCTTCAAATCTTCGATCTGCTAATAAGAGTACAAATCTAGCTATGATTCGTGCATCTTTTGTTGTTTGAAGTTGGACATTGTTGAAGTAGGCAGAATAACTCCATTTTCCTTACTTCAAACAGAAACTCCCACACAACCATTAACATACATCACAACCACACAACCAAATACTCGACTCGACAACAACAATCAACTTAAAAGTAAATAATATAAGCTCTAAAGTAAATTAAATAACCAAAAATATAATGACCTAATTTGAATTTAGTTATCAAATAACCTATGGAAACATATAGCTTTGAAATTGTGAGTACCTTAATTTCCCCAATCAAAGTAGTAAAAACTAGATTTAAAAATCAAATTAAGTCAAATACAACAAAAAAATTAAACTAAGTATACAACAATATAAATGGACATCTTATGGAATGGAGAACCTATTCAAAAATTAAAACAAACCAATAGCATCTAGTAACATTAATGTCGAGGCACATAGTTTAAATCTAATTAATCAGAGTATCATCCCCTACCTTCCCATTGTACAATGAGCTTTTCAAGTTGGTCTCGTTCAACTCTTGGCTGGGCATAGGATGAGAATGGCCAAGCAGGTCTACCAGCAAGAGTCAGGTGAGGCCAAGAAAAGTGGGGAGTAGCGATGGCTGAGCCTCCATGTTTTTTGCTCACAGTGGCTTCCAAATGTGGGTGGAAAAAAGTAATGATAGAATACGATCAATTGTTGTGGTTAATGCAGAAAACAGGAAGGTTGCAGGCACTTTTCAAATTTTCACCTTAAAAATAATCTTCTGTATATTTAAGAAGATGAATAAGGTTGAAACAAGTAATTCCTACATCAGTTATCTCTAAATTTAAAGTAAATTAAATCTAATCTAAGTCATATAAAAATGACTGTAAAGTAAACCTATTAGCTCAAGTGGTAGAGCACTATGCGGATGCATAGAGGTGAAGGTTCGATTCCTACATAGGTTATCTCTAAAAGTAAATATTAGAAACTCTAAAGTAATTCAAAATATCTCAAAAGTAAATAAAAAATAACTTAAAATAAATCAAATTAGCACAAAGATATATTCAAAATTTAATTGGATACTCTGATTAATGACTATGGAGACTTTATTACAGCATAAAAACTCCGAGTTATTGCATTCAAATCCTTAGAAGATAAAAAGTTATAAGACACAAGTAGTATCGAGCTCATTGTAAAGGTTTTTAAATTAAAAGTAAACAATACAATACCAAAAGTAAATTAAAAAGAAAATCAAAATATTTCAATTGTATTTATATAACGAAGCCATTGAAACCGATAAATGAGCATAGAAGCCGAGTCATTTCCTTTTATAGCGCTCTAAAAATGAGTGGTAATCAACCAAAAGAGAAGTATATGAGTTGAGGTTAAAGTAAAGTTTTTCAAATTAGAAGTAAATAAATCAGTGTAAAAAGTAAATTAAATTACGTTTTAGGTATAAAACTAGCTAAACAGATATAGATATAGTTTCACCTAATAAATTAACCTACGTGAGAATCGAATCCACATCCTTTGCACATTTGCACAATGCTCTACCAATTGAGCTAGTAGGCTAGTATATACTAATATAAACATTCGAAGTAAATAAAAGGTAAAATAAAAAAATTAATTGCAAAAGTAAATTAAAAAATCGCAAAAGTAAAAATATAAAAAAAAAATAAAAATCTAGAGAAACATATGCAAACTTTTGTCACCAAGAAAAGAAAAGGGTAAGTGTTTTCTTTTGATAGTTTCATGGGATGCTAACTACACTAATTAATATCATAGCTAAAGGTGTAAAGGAAGGTCTCAAAATATAATGTGATGTTCTTTTGTTAATCTTAAAAGTACCATGTCACTAAACCTGAACTACTCTATTTTGCACCCAAAAATCCTTTATAGTGAGTTCTAATGTGTTATTCATTTTCCATTCCGTCTTTCTTATTTTTTTTATTTTGAGGTGTGGTGGGTTGATTGTTTTACTTCTTAGGCCTTCAAATATATACAAGCAAATATTAGTAAGAGCTGACAGGAGAAAGCCCGGAAATGTATACAAAATTAACAAGATTGTTTATATACATGTACCTTGATTTTCAGTAATTTGGTATATGATACTCACCTCTTCTTTAGAGACATCAAGGTCAAAAATATAAGAAGAAACATAAAGCATTTCTAATCAGCTATCCTTTATGCAAATAAATTTTTTCAAGCAAGAGTTGACAGCCCTGAACAAGATATCAGAGCCAAGCAGAGATGTCAATAATTCAATAAAATAAAAGAAAACCATTTGATCATCATAGATGAATTCCATTTAAGGTACAATCAATTAAACTCATTGATCTATAACCATGAAATAGTTCTTGTTGTATATAAATTGGATATCAACAACAAAGTATATAACTAAACCTGTACCATTATGTTATCATTTGTCTTATTTAATTTTTTTAACAAGACTTTGCTTGTTTAGGACCCTCTTAGTTAATTGCTAGCCCACCTATTCAAGATCATGATATGATGGAGCAATCATCTAATGTGATAATGAAAATATCAACTCCTTCTGACAATGTGATAATGCAAAATGTCTGACATTATCAATAGTGGCCTAAACTTTCAAGATCATTAGCCACTAAAACACCCTTCATGTTTAGGCCACGTGAGGGAGTGAAGGATTTAGCTTACCTTCCTCTAAGTAAGGACCTGACCTTTGTAATGAGCAATTGTAGCTTTCAAATTACTTCAGAAGCCGATTGTACCTTAGCTTCCTTGAATTCCCGGATTATAGAATGATTGAACACCTCATTATAACCCTAACCAATTCTGAGATCATTTTGCAGACAAATCTAGATCTGAAAGCCACAATCAAGCACCAATATCAAATTACTTTAGAAAAGAAAATCAAACCAGAATGCTGCAAATTTAGCAATTAAAATGTATCAACTATATCAAACGAATTATAATTATTACACCAAATAACAATAGAACATAAAATCACTACCAAAACAATATGGAATCATAAATCTGATTAAAATAAGGGAACAAAAAAATCAATCGAACAAAAATTATCAAAAATAAACCTTAGTTTCAACAATCTAAATTGCAATATCCAAACATTTAATTGCAAAATCCCTAAAATATGAACTATAATCACAAATACTGAAACAAATAATTGGGAAAACCCTAATTTTCGCAATCAAATTCGCAAAAACTTGTTTCAAAATCGAATTGAATCAAAGCAACAACTAAAATGAAAATAAATCAACTTACCTGCCCATTAATTATCCTAAGCAACAATAATCAGAGATGAGAATTTGCAAAATTGATGACGTGCGACGAGATTAGAGAAATCGAAATAGAGAATTTGCAGGAGCAGAGAGAAAATGCAGAAGAAGAGAGAGAAAGAAAATGAAGCGACGTATGAGTTAGGACGAAGGTCATTCAACGCGTAAATTACAAAAATGCCCTTAATGAGGCGGGGTGGAATGTGAGCCGTTAGATTGAACGAGATCTACGGTCCAGATGAGTTCCTAGTTCCTAATTATAGACTTAGGTTCTCACATGATCTTGATTATATATATATATATATATATATATATATATATAAGAACTATGCACCACGTATAAAATATCTATAGTTTTAGCATATTAAATTTTCATCGACGTTATGATATAGTTACTGTTTAAAGTCGCCTAATACATATTTCAATGTAATAGTCCTACGAGGACATTTATTAGTGTGCTAATTAAAATTGTTTCATTTCCTAGGATGTATTGATATTTTGTAATTGTAATATAGAAGGTTCTAATATTCAAATTTCAAACTAGGGCAGCTTCCCAAAAAAAAAAAAAAAAAAAAAAAGGCCATCATCCTTGCATTTAGGCAGCAAAAAAGTTATTTCAAGAGTGACATGTGGAAATAGTTAATTAATATGCGTTTTGTAGTGTTTTTTAAAGTTAGTATTATTTTGTAGGAATTTGTTGTTTTACGAAAATTTCCAAACTTATTACTACCAAAATATTGGAGTTTAAAACGTATTTTATGACTGATATTTGAAGCCCAATATCGAGCTAAAAGGATTTGGTTCAGTGATTAAGGGCTTAGTTGAGTGAGTAGACTAAAAAAGTCTATGCTGGTAAATGGACCAAGAAAGTTAAGGAATGGGCCTAATCTTAAGAATGAATCCCAATCCCGAGAGAAGCTGCCAGAGCCCGAATATGAAGATCAATTGTTGGGCTTGAAAATAGTGGGCCCGATCGGGCAAGTGTGTTGTTGTTGTGCAACATACGTCGATTGTTATTTGTACTTTGGGTCCAATGGCGGACCCACTTGTAGTCATGGTGGGTCCTAGGACACAGTAAAATTTTATATAAATAAAAAAATAAAAAAATCTAATAAATTTTGCTAAAGTGAGTGGTGACAATGTCTGACAAATGTTACTACTCCCTAAGTCACGTGAAACCAACAATAAAAACAAGTAAAGTGAAATTTTGTTAAAAAATAGTTTATTGAAAGAAAACAAAACTTTGTCAGTCATTTTCTATCTCCTTAAAAAATTAAAAATTTTGAATAATAAAATTTAGCACCAACTCACGATGTTACGCTCTGACGAAATGACGAAACTGTCGACTGAAACTGACCGAGAAATCCGACCACCCACCGCCGGCCAGCGACCTCTGCGGCTCCGCCCACTCTTGTCTTTTGTTCGATTGTCCACTCTATAAACTAATAAATCAGGTAATTTACTAACCTTAAATCCCTAATTTTTTAAATTCAAAGTTGGGTATTTTTGTGATTGTTCTTGACTTCTTGCTAAGAAATTCTATATACAAATTGTTTAAAAGCTTTATATTGTTGTGCTTATTCAGTTTATAAATGATTAATTGAAGGTTTTGCTTTAGTCTTTACTTTTTAGAAGTTTGGATTGATTATTTGTTCTAGGGTTTTAAATTGATTATTTACTATTTTAATTGTATAGCTGTTATTCATGAAATGGGAATCAAAGTTGCAATTTCCATCGAAATTATTGGTTAATTGAGATTTGTGAGTTTGTGAATTGTAGTTTCTTTAATTTATTTATATGGTTCTATACTTTAATACTTATATGTCTTAGTTTAAACTAACAAGAACTTTTTAGATTGATTTATCTAATTCAACCTTTAACTTCAATTCAGAATGAAAAGAAAAACAACTCGAGATATTTCAAGTTTTTTTACTAAAAGAGTGTCTACCCTAAATCCTCCTCTTCCACAAAATAATGCACCTCCACCACAAAATGATACTCCTCCTCCACAAAATGATACTTCTCCTCCACTGAATGATCTACCTTCTCAAGAAAGTGAACCAAATCCTCCTTCACTACAAGAACATGAACAAAATTCCCAAGAAAGTGAACCAAATACTCCTTTACATCATGCAAGTGAACAACATTCTTCTCCATCTCACAATTTCCCTCAATATCAAGATGGCCAATCTTTTCCCCAAGATGGTTCGGATCCTAGTGCTCAAATTGGTGAAGGAAGATTAAGTGCCCTTGATATTGCTAATCTTTCACAAGACTCCGGGAAAAGGAGAAGGATGTGTGATTTTCATCCCGATGATAGGGATTTAGTGCGGAGAACATACATTCAAAGAAAGTCATGTCAACCTAAAGATCATGTGTTTCCTCAAACATATTTTGGGCCGAAAAAACATCAATTTTGTGTTAATATGTTTGATACTTGGCCAACTTGGCTTTAGTATAGTGTTAAGAAAGATGCTCCCTTTTGTTTCATTTGATATCTATTTAGATGGTAACACTGCGTGAGCCGATACTATTGTTAATGGAGGTTTCAGATATTGGAATAGAAGAGACACAATTGTAAATCATGTTGGTGGACACAAGAGTGCTCACTATAATGTTGTGATTGCTATGAATTTTTTCATAAAACAACTGAGTAGCATTGCCATCGCTTTATCAAAACAAACAGTGGAAACCATGAGTGCCCATCGTAAGAGATTGGAAGCTTCAATTGAAACCATCGGATGTATATTGTTCCAAGGTTGCCTTTTCGTGGTCATGATGAAAAGGAAAGTTCATTGTCTAGAGGTGACTTTCTTTCGTTATTAGTCCTTCTTTCAAACCATGATCCTGAGTATTCCAAAGTTGTTTCTAAAATGGCCCCTGATAATTGTCAACTTACTTCTCCAAGTGTCCAAAAAGATATAATCAATGCTAGTGCAAAAGAAACAACTAAAACAATATTGGAAGAACTTGATGGTGGATTTTCTGCTATTCTTGTTGATGAATCTTCCGATGCTTCCGATAAGGAACAAATGACACTTTGTTTGAGTTTAGTTGGTAAAAGGGGGGAAGTGTGTGAGCGTTTTCTTGGTATTGTGCATGTTCCTGACACTAGTTATTTGATTGTCAAAGCTACTATTGAGTCATTACTCATGGAACACTCTTTAACTTTCTCTCAAGTTCGAGGTCAGGGTTATGATGGGGCAAGTAATATGCAAGGTTCAATCAATGGACTTAAAACTTTAATTTTGAATGAATGTTCTCGAGCATACTTTGTTCATTGCTTTGCTCATCAACTTTAATTGACACAAGTTGCTCTTGCTAAGAAAAACTCAAATTGTGGTTGGCTTTTTGTTAATGTACTTGCACCTCTCTTGAACTTTGTGGGAGGTTCACCTTAGAGGAAAGAATTTCTTCGAGAAAAACAACGTCAAGGGATTGTAGAAGAATTATCCTTGGGTGATTGAATCGAGAATTGGTTAAAATCAAGAACGTGGCTTTTGTAGGCCTTGTGATACTCGTTAGGGATCTCACTTTAAAACCATTTTGAATGTGCTTGATTTATACCCTTCAATACTTTTGTCACTTTATTCAATTGCATAATGAAAGGAATGGTGTCTTTCGAACAAGTGTATTATTCCGATAGAGGGTTCGGAATTAATTAGAAAGTTAATTATTCAGTGAGGTCAAGTGATCGGAATGCCTAGCTGGAGGCCGCTTTCGATCAGTAATATTAATGAATAATTAATATTACAGCTTAATCTTGACTGAACCCTTCGGGTCACACCCAATCGTGTAACTGAACTGAAGCGACGAATCAATCCGAAGGATAAAATGAGTCGATAGAGATTTTACGAACTAAGACGTCGGATTCCGAGTTTAGAGCGTCGAAAGTCAAGTCGAATTTAGGGATCGACGAGACGGAAAAATCATCAAACAACAAGTTAACGCGCGCGGAAATCCTAGCCTCGCGATGGTCTAGCCAAGTGAGGGCTAGGTAGGCTAGCATAGCTAGCTGAGCACCTTGCCGCAAGCCCAGCATGCATATCATGCATTGGCTGGGAAGTTGGCCGAGAAGCATGCTAGAAAGGCGTGGCAGCATGCTCGAGCATGCATGCGAGCCGGCACGCCCATCAGCTCGAGCGCCAGGCACATGCTAGCACCGAGCTTGGTGCGTAGCAGCAGCAGCGCCCAGTAAAAAAGTAGCCCATATTTGCAAGGCTTGCTGCTGCGAGCTGGTGCGGGAAGGCCTAGCTGGCAGGCCCAGCCGAGAGATCAGGTGCCAGCATGGCTCCCTTGGTGCTCAAGGTGGGCTACCACTTGGCGTCATCCTATTGCACCTGTTTTGTGAAGGGTGGCTTGGGAAGCAAGGGGAAGGTGGTCCTCCCATTGTGGTCCTCACCTACTCCCTTGCTCTCCCTGTACCACTTGTCGTTTGATGATTGTTTTGGCTGTTTAATTCAATTTAGAATTAAATTAAATCTTATTTTGCCTTTTTACCAACTATCCCACATTGAAAGATGATGGGAATTCTTGGGGACATTTCCCTATAAATACCCATCATTGGGTATTGGGAACTTCACTTAAGTTGGTGAACTTTAAGGGATCTCTAAAAGAGAGAAAATCTTTGTTCGTAAACTCTAAGTTATTTTGGTCTAACCTCGACTAAGCTTCGAGGTAGGGACCGGTTACGGTTCGGTAGCGAGGGTGTGAGCCGTTGGAGATTCTCGCACTTGCGTAACTTGAAGTTTTCAAGTTCGAGCCCAACAGTTGAGCGAAGCACGCTACAAGGGTGAGCATTCATTCTCTCTCTTCTCTTATGTTTATGTTTATTTGCATGCTTTTATTTATGCTGTAATTATTATGCATTCCATCCGTTTATCGACTTTTGTTTTCGCGCGGTGTCGGACACCACAAAACCCAACAGCGGTATAAGAGCCTCTTGCATTTAATTTTTACAACTAAAAATTAATTAAGGTGATTTAAAATGGATTTAAATTTCTGGTTTTGCTTCCTAATTAGATTAGGAGCTTGTTTATAATTGGATTAAAATCGTATTTATGCTATTTTTGGCTTACGAACTCCGATTTTGACTCAAAATTAGTGAATTTTGGATGGAATCGACATTCTAATCATTCTTTACCCACAAAATGGTTAAAAATAGCCTTCTAGAAGCCAAAATCCACCCAGAAAGTGGTTTTTCGAGGGGTTTTTCATTTTTGACGGAATAATTTAAATCT